CTGTGCTAAACTCGATTTGTGAACCAGCCTCACCTGGAACCCACAGAGATCCACTTGCCCCTGCCTCCTGGGTCCTGGGATAAACGCATGTTCCACCACTCCTGGCTTCTTAGTGAGCTTTTTAATCTGAAAGGATGGGCCCAGAAACTTCTATTTTCAACAAGTGTCTGCTGAGAATCCACGCAGCCAGTACTGGCTTAGAATTTTATAACCTGTGCTGTGAAATAAGCCTGGTTCTTGTTTCGTTTTGCAACCGTGTGACTCAGTACACAGTGTCACCCAGTACCCCCAGTTGGAGACAGAAGGATCAGGAGCTCAAGGGCAGCCTGGGCTACATACTGAGTTTGAGGCTGGCCTAAGTTATAGGAGACCCTGTCTTAAAACAACAGCAAACTCTACCAGAAACAAACAAACAGACAAAAAGTTTAGTTTCTGATTATATATATATATATATATATATAAAATAGTATATATACTATAGTATATATATAGTATAATATATATAATATATAATATATTATATATATTATAGTCTTTGATTTTGAAATATATCTATGTAGCCCTGAACTCACTATGTAAACCAGATTGGCCTTGAGGTCACAGAAATCTACCTATGTCTGCCACCCCAATCCTGGGATTAATGATGTGCACCATCAGGCCCAGCCATTGAGTATCTTTGTTAATTCCATATGACACAGGTCTGTACCCAGGAATCAAAGAAATATGTCCAGAGGAACTAAGGCTCTCATATAAACTTCTACTAGGAGTGTTCTTATTAATTAATAATAAAAATAAAAAAAAATTCAGGGCTGGTGACATGACCCCGAAGGTAAAGGTATTCCCTGCAAAGCCTGATCCAAGTTCCATCCTTGGGACCTACATGGTGGGAGGAGAGAACTCATTCCCAAGTAATGCTTTGACTGGCACGCACACATGCTGTAGCATGCTTTGTACACATCACACACACACACACACACACACACACACACACACACGCACACACACACACACACACACACACACACACACACACACACACGCTGTAGCATGCTTTGTACACATCACACACACACACATCAACTAAATTAAAATTTTAAATTAAAAATTAAGTTAATTTTTTTTTAACCCAAAGAGCTGCCTGAAGTCATAGCTACGCTAGTAGTAGGCTGAGGTGAGAATCCCTTGAGCCCAGCGGTTGGGGATTACTTTAGGCAATGTAGGGAGACCCTGTCTCAAACAAACAGACAAACAAAAAGCATAACAAAAGGCGAGAAACTTGTCCTCTTCAGGAGGGCCTTAGTTCATTCTGAGTCCTCTCCTTGATTTGATTCCTGCAGCATAGCTCTGAAACCCTTGGTTCTATGGCTGCCATAAGGAGAGGTGTGGGCCTCCTGGTGCTGGGGTGCAGCTCAGTGGTGGCGCGCTGGAGGTGGGGCCTTCATGGAAACAGGCTTCACCAGCTACCATGCTCTGGAGTGAGCTGCATTTCATGCCAGACTTTTAGTGGGCCTGATTCAAAAGAGAGAAGGGGACGTGGTTGAATCAACAGGGTGGGCTTCCTCTGGCCTATCGTCTCTGTCCTCTGATGCCTTAGAGTCCCTGCCAGGTTTTCTGTGCGAACATTTTCCTGTGTACTTGGAAAAAAAGGTGAATTCACTTTGTTTCTTCCCCCCTTAGATTCGCGTACGAAGATTATCAGAGAACCGCCGAGTGGCTTCGGTCTCACACTACGCATCGCCCTCAAGTGGCCGTGATCTGTGGTTCTGGGTTAGGAGGTCTGACTGCGAAATTAACTGAGGCCCAGATCTTTGACTACAGTGAGATACCCAACTTTCCCAAAAGCACAGGTATTGGCTGGGGCTGGTGATGTTGATGAGTGTCCTAGTCACTGTTGCTGTGAAGAGACATCATGACCAAAGCAACCCTAATGAAAGAGAGCATTTAACCAGGGGCTTTCTTTCAGTGTCAGAGGCTTAGGCCGTGATCATCATGTCATGGAGCATGGCGGCATGTATGGTTCTAGAGCAGTAGCTGACAGCCACATCCCAAGGCCAAGAAAGAGACTGGGCTTGCCATGGACTTTTGACACCTCAAAGCCCTCCCCCGGTGGGTGACACACTTCTCCAACAAGGCCACACCTCCTAATTCTTCTAGTACTTTCAAATAGTGCCGCTGGCTGGTGACTAAGCATTCAGGTATACGTGCCTGTGGGGGGCCATTCTTATTCAAACCGCCATACTGGGCTTATGTGGACTCTAATCAAGGAGATGTTCCCACTTTCTGTCCTATCATTTGACCAAAGACAAGTGTAAGACAGGGCAACAGACACCGTGCAATCAGAATGAGCTTAGGAAGAAATGACCCTGTTTTTACCGTGTGTGTTGGGGTGGTGAAAGTCTGTAGTGTGTTGTGTGGTTTGTTGCTGAGATGCTCAGCAGGAAAAGTTACCTACCCCACACGTGATGTTCAGTGCCCAAGGCCCGTGGACTGGAAGAACTGACTCCCACTGGTCTTCACACTATAACACACTCTGTC